AGTACGTATCAGTTTTGCCCTAGCATGTGAGATCCAGGGGTTTACCTGCGATTGGCGGAGCTGCACCAGTTGCAGAACATCTCTTTTCAGCCGGAAGTCTTTGGCCCTGGCGTCAGTAAAGACATAGATGAAGGATCCGGGCAGTGAAACCTCCAAGGCTTTCTTTATGGCGCCGATGCTCATTTCAGGGCAGTCGCCGCCACCCTGTGTGAGAGAAGCACACATGATCAGAGAGTGTTCGAGGGAAAAACTCTAAATATCTCATTTCATTTTGAACATTTTGCCATTTAGGAGAGAAAAAAGTTTTGTCTAATGTTACAGACACATATTTTAAAGTGTCTCTCCAGTCGTCAAATAAACTGGTAAAAATTAATTTCCGTGTATCACAGTTACAGATTTAGAAGTTTTCACCATAAAAATAATGTCTTCCTGCTTTAAAATGCCTCAGATGTAACTCTGCGCTGTTGCTTTCTTCATTATGTGGCTCTATGAAATCTCAGCCTCTTTCTCAACCCACCCCTCCATCTCCCACTGCAGCTCAAACGCACCAGCTCACCTACAACTCAGCTCAAACACTGTAAAACTGCTCTACGCTACACAATGACAAATTGTAATGTTGGAAAAATTCAGCCATATATGTTCAAACCAGAAACCAGCTCCATCCAACTCGAACGTTAACAGCACATATCATTTCCCTGACATACGAGCCAGTAGGGACCTTCTAAACCATCTGGCGCGCTCTGTAAGCTGTTATCGCCCCAGTTAATGTTGCTTCATTATCACTTTATTTAACGGTGGTGTTGCCACAATTTTACACCTACAAAGAAAAAAAAATCCACATTTGTAGGCTGAAGGAGATGGAGGAGGCATAAATCAGCAGATTTTAGCCCAGAAGGCTTGAGTTCAAATTCTGCCTCTCAATGTTATTATAGCATGTGGATTTGGATTTGCTCTCATTTTGACTCTTGCTTCCACTTGCTGCTTTTCAGTCAGTGTTTGGTTACGTTTAGAAAAGGGTTAGAGTTAAAACACACGCTGTTTCTATCCTTACCACATTACAGAGCTCCATTTAACACAACATATTTTACATGCACTTGTTTATACAACTGCAAGAGGTCAAGATAATGGGTCGTTAAATGGGCTGATCACGTCTGTAACGGGTTCCAGTTCTCAAAAAGATGATGATGATACAGAAAGCAACACTCTGCAAGTTGACAGGTGTGGTTCCTCAGGTTTGCTTTATATTAAACTCTGGCTGTCTGAATCCATGTTTTTGAGACCATCATTGCTACACTGCAGTTGCAAGGTGGAAATTGTCAGTCATGGCATTGATTGTCTATTTTGCTTGTCTTCTAGCATATAAAAAAAATAATAAAACACCATGTGGACACATTAAGAGATTAGATTAGATTTAGATTTTCATCAGAGGGGGCTTTAAAACATAAGCACGACATAACTTTTAAAGAAACAAATAAAAATAAGAAGTTACATTTATATGAAAATAACACAATCTTTCTCCATTCAGTGCCTTCAGGAGTTTAACCTCTACAGCCTTACTTAGTTTGTCATGACTAGGAGATTCTTGTGGCTAATATTTGCAAATGTTTGCAAAAATTACTAATTCAGTTAGCTGACTTAAGAGTCTTTCTCCAGTTGTGCTGCTATTTAGCCTTATCGCCTAATTGTTCCCAGAAGTTGCTGTTCTTAGTTGTTTTTTTTTTTTAAAGTGGTGCTTCAAGCAGCAGCAGCAGTCTATATATACGGAGCGATAGACTCTGAAGAATAATCACTTCATGTGTTCTGTTTCCCACCTGGACAAACAGCTCTTGCAGGTCCTGCTGGAACTTCTTTGGATCCGTGGTGATGGACACGGGGCCAATATCTGTGAGAGTAAATAAAAAAGTATATCATGAAAGGTCACCAACAGAGGCTTTTCAGTGAAGAAAATCAAATCAACTCAGCTTAATAAGTTCCAGTTCTGCTCTGGTTGCTAGTGCATGCCTAGAAACACAGTATTCATCTCAAGCAAATAAAAGCTTACGTCTGGGCTTTTTTCCCCCCCTTCAAATTCAACAAAACAACTGCATCTGAACAAAGGGTTTAATTCTTCCCTCTCAGCTACTCAGCCTCTCTGAAAAAAAAAAAGCATCGACGGCATCAAAATCCCTAATAAGTCACAGCCCAACTTATCAGGACCAGAGTGATGCCCTGCAGACTTTGTGCAAAGCATGAATACCAATCATACAAGAGAGGCTACAATGGTGCACTGACAAAATTACAGCATTCAGGTTTTGTTTTACACAAAGTTTGGATGATGACAGAATAATCATTCGCTGGAGCTGCAGTCAGCATTTCCAACTGGGTGACTTCCCCGGGTCTCTAATGGCAGCAGACCCCGGCATGACGGATAGGAGCCTGTCAGGGCCTGACGCCTACTTGGACGCCTCCTGAGGCCAAATCGATGGAACAGTAAACATTAACCAATACGCGGAGAATGCGTTGTTTTTGCCATAGAACACTGCCATCCATAAACACGAGCTTTTTCATTATAGTCATTACAGAGAAGACCCTCATCAGGTTAGGGTGGAGCCTCGTGATTTCAGTGTCTCTGCTTGTTATTCCAACTGTCACAACCCATTTTGAAGTATCTTTGCGAGACTAATGATACAGAGACTTGAAGACATGTGTCAAGCTGATGACATTTCTTACTCATTCTCAATCATTTTTTTCCTTTTTTTCCCCCCCTCCAACTAGTGGAGGCTTTCAAGTCCCCGTCTCCTCCTCATGAGCGCCTGTAAAACACTGACAGCACTGTCACGCCTCTTTGTCAGCCACCGCCGCTTTCTTTTGCAATCTTGGAAGTTTACAAGGTCCCCAGGGGCAGGGCGCATTAAACACAGACAAAACGTGTGGTGTTGGTGAAGAAGCCCACCATCCTCCCACCACTACCTCCCTCCATCCCCCTGCTGGCTAAACTGGGGGGCTGTGAGGGTTTTCCGGAGGCTTGGATGGAGGAGTGGGGTTGGGAGTGTGTGTGTGTGTGTGTGTGATTGGGGTAATTACACACAAGCAGACAGCATATGCTTCTCATCAGTGCACAAACACCCTCCCCCCATTAGAGCACTCTTATTTTCAAGCTGCAGCTTTCCCGTATAGAGGGGACAGATACAGGGGGTGAGCAGCCTTACCTGTCCCACAGACTGATCATCACACAAGATCACATATTCCTGCTTGGTTTCTAGTTTAATGTGAAACAGCTATGAAGTGCCACATACATGCTACAGGTTCTGAGATGTGCTGATTTTGTGATTTCCTTCAGAAAAATCATGACAGCCATGGAAATATAAAATTTCAGGGGGAATATAAACTACTGTTGAGTTTGTAATAATGAAGAAAAAAAAAAGCTACAGGCAACAGTGCAGCCTGGATAATCTAACCTTGTTGGTTTTGTTAAGTGCTGCAATAAAAAGCTAATTCACAAACATATTAAGAACTCAGTTGACAAAAAATGTGACTATTTTGGAGCTGGTTATTTAAAGAGCAAACTTGTGTGGGGTTACCTGGGTCGTGGAAGGGGACCAGGACAAAGTTTTTGATGGGTCTGTTCCTCCGGCTGAGGGTCTTCTCCAGGATCCGTGAGGCGCCCTCTATCACCTGTTTCAGATCGTCGTACATGGAGCCGGTAACATCGAACACAAAGGCCAGGGTAGAGGCGCTGTCACCGGATTCATCACTCTCCTCAACCCGGGGGTCTGCCAAGAGCCTGTGCACGCTGACAGAGAGCGCCAAAACTAGGCACTTTAATAAGGCACCGGCCATTTTTCTTTTTTTTTCAGATTTACTGCATCTGTCTGCTGGAATGAGGCGAATCACATAAAAAAAATTTCAAAGTAGGATAAAGTTTTTAAAAAGTTTGGATTTCAAAGTCACTCTGAAAGAAAGAAGAAAAGAAAAGTCTGGGACTACTTCCAGTAGCTAGAAAAGATATTTGGAACAATACGACTCAGCTGAAAGACATCAAAATCCAGTGTTAAATACTTCCACAGGAGAACATCCGTGCGTAAAGTTTGGAGGAGCGTGTGGACTGGCTCTGCGCTGGAGAGCCCCTGGAGAGATGGTGCTCTGACGCTTCAAACGGGGGCGGAGATGGGTATTAAAAGGTTCCCGAGACCCAACCTGTTTTTTTTTTTTTTTGTGCGTGTGTGAGTGTGTGTAACTCGACCCCACTGTGACTTCGAGGCTTTAACCCTATCCAACATTCCCCCCTCTTCTATTCGATTTTCGCTGTGGGGCCCCAAGAGACGCAGTTTTTTTTTTCTAACAGCTTTACGCACATTACCAGCCGGGCCTGGAGTCTGTATTTTGGACACGCCGAGAACATTGTCTCAGTAACAGCCTCGTTTTTATAAATAGCCATCGTTTATATTCAGCTGACACCAATCTAATTTTATACATAGCCCACCCTGAGAAATATCCCCTTGGCATATGAATGGGTGGAATAGCTTGACGCGCCACCAGGAAATGTCACTGTGCTTTCTTGCTGCTCTGGATAGAAATACTATTGATCATTAAACATTATCCTGGTGCACTTGATCTCTAGCTATGACATATCTTGTCTAAGAAGATCAGACCTCACAGAGGAAGCCAGCCCTGATCTTTTGAATGTAAATAATTCAGTGTCTTCTTCCAAAGTAAGCAGTAGAGACCCAGAATATTTTTTTGAAACAAGAAAAGTGGTTGTTCACCTCAAAATACACTCGTTTTACTGCACTTGGTCACACATGCTACATTTGAAACTTGTATAGAAAACAAAATGAACCAAGGACAGAACAGTCTCCGGTCAAAGCCCTGGACTCTTCCTCCTCTTGATATCACACGACTCCGTCCTTGATGAAAAGAGAACAGTAAGCAGGTCTGAGCAGGCCCAGCGAGCCCTGAAACTTCAAAAGGCACTGAGCCTCATTAACCCACCATCAATGCCAAGAAATCACAGTTGGGTGTTTTTTTTTTTCTTTTTGCAGTTCATTGTTCATTACACAACCATACAGTGCAGGCTTTACACCACGGAGAAAGTTGGCATGTTAGATTCAAAGCATAACAGGCGCTAAAGCTTGACATGACACCTTTCCTTATTAGTGGTGAAGCAAAGTGCAATACTGGACCGATAATAGATGCCATGTTAAATACAAGGTATTAGCGTCTGTGCAATCTTGGGTAATTATTACGGAGGGCTTCTACAAACAGACACGTGAGCAGCAGTCATTCTAAAAAAGCAGCTCCTTAAAATGATCCAAAAACTGGTGTATATAAAAGAAAAGAAAATGAAACACTGTTTTCTATCCATTACAGACTGAGAATACAGTAACAGAAAAGTTAGCCACTTAAATGCGTTTTATTCTGTGCTCTTATACTGTTAATCAACAGGTAAATGACATTTATAATTTAGTAAATTATCATTTGCATAAGGCATAAAATCAGTGAAGCGGATAAAACATCTTAATGCTCTAACTAAAATATTTCAGGAATGAAAAAAAAAGGCATCATCACATGCTCTGGCCTCACAAAGGACAAATACAGAGTAGACAATTGCAACCACAGAGCTCGCAAAAGCTTTACAACCAGAATTGATGTTTTGTTTGTGCCTCTCAATGACCAGGGCTTTGTGGCGCTGAAGGTGGAGTGCGATGCTCTCAAAAGAAATACTAAACCTCAATTCAGATGTAAGCTGTGACAGTTTGCGGTGTTGCTCGACAGTGTCATTCAGGATGTAGCTGTGTAACCGCGTGGACACTAGACGCTCGTGCTAACGGGGAAATGAGAACACAATGGGATGCACAGACTGCAAACATAGTAAAATCATCCATAGAAAACCCCGTGCTACTAAAACGTTCCTCTTCAAATAAAAACCCTGTTCTCTCAAGTAAAAGGAAACCTCGGGATGTGAGAAAAATAACAATCCAACAATAATAATGAAAAATACAGTGCAATACATTTCAACACCTTTGATAAAAAATAAAACTTCATTCCATATTTATGAGGAAAAATCCCATAAACGCAGCAAAGCAGAAAATAAATTACCATTATATTTACATCATATAATATACAGTATACTGCTTTGTAACTTTAAGTTAGTGTTCACGTTATCACCAAGTCACACATTTCTCCAGATCCTCCAGGGTTTAGAGTCTCTCCATTTTGGTGATGAAGCAGCAGAACAGTTCCTCTGAGCACTTCACGTGCATCCAGTGCTTTGCAGCACGTGAACGAGACGCACACCAGCATCTCCACGGGAATTCAGCTCCCTGGACTGTCCATGGGGAAACCACAACACTGCGCTCGCAGAAATGTTCGTACAGAGTCTACAACACTCAAGGGTGTACGTGGTGCCACATAGCTGTAGAAGCACAGATAAATGAGGGTTTTGCTGACATGTTTTGAATTCTCCGTCGCATCAGAGGATATATGTGGTCACGATCCTTATTGGAAATGTAGACGAACAGCTACTTGACACAGTATGGCCGTGCGACAAAAGTTTGCAGTCCACTTCTGGGTGATCAAGTTAAATGTGGCGTCCTCCCATTACAGGTGTGATGGTGCTGTACTGGTGTGTAACGGGCAGGAGGATGCTGAGCTGGATCCATCTGAGAAGTTTTAAGAGGGATTACTGTTTGAATAGATCACAGTAAGTCGTGTCATGATACCTTGTTGTGTTCAAAGCATGCCGGATAATCACTAAACAGAGCTGCCGCATTAATAAAAATATGTTTTCACAGGCTCGCTTCACAGTTGACAAAACGCTGAGCAGGATGTCAACAACAATTGGCAGCGGCCAGTGCATTACATTAGGCAGTGAGAGGAGAGGGCTGTCTCACTCTTCATTCAGCACTGCAAGACTATTTGATTGCCAGTAAACAAGTGGGCCATTTGAATTATTCATAAGAACAAACTGAGAGCAGAAAGTGGCTTCTTCACTTTGGTTTCAGCCCACGGACTGAATTTTCTCCCATTATTCTTTGCTCTGCTGAAATAAGCATTACACTGTATTATCGTGGAGCTGAAACATGACCTGGGATTGAAAGTCAGCCGAGCAGAAAAGTATGCAGGTAGTAGCTCATTAATACCTCACTCACCTTACATTTCTACACAAGTCCATCATAGAGTGACAATGCCTGAACAATAGAGGGGTCTGCCTTTGAACCTTCCTGAAACTCCTGCAGAGTCAGCTTCCCATCGGCGTTCTGCAACATGAAACAAATTAAAGTGACGCCTTGTAATGCTTTAACACAGAGTTACCAGCAGGGGGCAAAAGAGGCTCTCAGGCTAAATAATGTTACTCCTGTTCTATGCTGTTGGGCTGATCTGTGGTTCAGTGCACTTGGACGGTGGCCACTCTCTGCTAATACAAATCACTAAGTGCTGCTGTGGTGCACAGCTACTCCTATGGGCTGATCTTGGCAGTGGTGAGCTGACAAACACACCCATGCAGGCTGCGTCTCATCTTTCACTAAAGCTGAGTAGATTCTTGGAGCTGATAGAGGCACTGGCATTAGCACTGAGGGCCAGTGGTGTAGAAGACTATATATGATGTTTATAGACTGCAGGCAGCGTTAGTGACGCTGGGCTGGCTATAGCTAACAGCTCTAAACTTAACAGTGCCCATGTCAAAGTCCCCAGGGTGGCAACAAAGGCAGATTCACTGGTCCAAATGGGAAACTAATAATTAGCACAGCACTTGTATTAACTTCAGCTATAGTTTGATGTTAAACTTCAGAAACTAACATTATTTAACACTAACCTTGTCCATCATTGCAAAAATGCGGTCCACTCGCTTTTCTGGTGTGTTTTCTTCCTCTGGTAACTCCACAGTGTTCCCCTAAGATAACAAATTATTTCTCAGTTACTCATATCTCAAACAAATGAGGATTATGTAGCTGCTGTTTGGCAAAACTTACCACCATCTGATATATGGCATCGACGATGTTCAGCATCTCATCACGGGTTATGTAGCCATCGTTGTCAAGGTCATATAATTTAAAAGCCCCTGCACAGAGACAAAGTGTTAAAATATATCTGCTTCACTGCAAAGAAGAGAGCGTTCACAATTTTGTTCTGGTGCGTGAGCTCCATATTGAGATCAGAAAGCTTCTGAGATTTCAAAATGGTAATTCTTGATATAAATATTGATCACACATTGTTACAGGGTTGAAAGTTAAGGTTATGGCTAAAGTTTAAGCTGCATGTTCTTCTATTCGAATGAAAAGGTTTGGTCATGACCCCCAGCTAGCAGACGCCTGCTGTATCTGGGTAATGATCTTTTATTTGTTGTTCTCTCAGGGCCCACCGGTGTTCTTTCATATGCAAGTCAACCCTGAATCCTGTCATTTAAATGCAAAAAAAAACAAAAAAAAAACAAAAGGGGGGAGTGCGTCTACTTACATCTCAGCTTCTCATCCAGAGTCCCCCGAGAGGTCACTGACAGGGCCTGGATGAACTCCGAGAACTCGATGCGTCCGTCCTATAAGGGGACAAAAGTGAGAGAAAGACAGTGAAAGGAAACGGCCGAGAGACGAGACGAGCATCTCACTTCACATTTGCTGTAGCTGTACTTTGATGAACTCCTTCCTGTTCTTTCGTGATGTCCTTGCTGTATTCTGCTGAAAACGGGGCCAGACGTTTGCTCCAAGTCAGCTGCTATTTTTGCCCTGCACCTGGCTCTCTCCTGAGGCAGAAATATGTCACCTCTGGTCATTAGTAAGATGGATGCTACTAGCTCATAGTCTAAAAGTTACAGCACACAAACATACAACTACTCTATACTGGGGGCAACAATGTTTCATGTTTTGCAATCATTCCACATCATGAATGGGCATGACAGATAATTCTGTCCCAAAAGGTAGAAAACATTCCCCTCTGACACTTCCTTTCAGCTTTGTTAGAATCCAGTGCGGTGAATCTTACCAGAGAAGCTCAACATTTCCAATAACGCTCTCAAAACTGTAGCCTCAAGTGTACATCTGCGTGGGCACACTTTTGTATAGCAGAAAGAGAAGTCTGCTGTCATGGATGATGATAGAATATAAAATGAAAGCTCAAAGTGGCTCAAATGCCACTAAATCAGACCAGCGCATTAAGTTATGACCTCCTGTCTCAAGCCGCTGCATAACACTAATTCAAAACAAACCGCAGCACAGAAATTCCACTCACATTCTAAGCGAAAAAAAACGAAAACCTTGTGGAACTCAAGCAATGCAAATAAATCAATTTCCAGGTAGTGGAGCCATCAGGCTCGGGTCAATTCATATTCTCGCCAGATAGTAAAGGATTGTGCTGAATTACAAAAAGGTTTTCCCACATCCTGCTACAACAGCTGCCTACCTGTAACCCTGCTATGAGATCAGTCACAGCTTGTTCTTCAGAAGAAAAAAAAAGCCAAGCACTCTTCACGGCCCTTAGGGTCAGATAACCTGATCTCTACCAGACATCTGACTAGCCAGAAAACGTTGAGTCATGCATTGCTGATTACATAAGTCATAAAAACTGTTAAGATCAATGCGTTCTCTAACTATGGGGTGCCCAACGCTAATGAAGGTCAGAGATAAACATCAGATGAGGGGGGTTGTCTGATCTTCCTGACACAAAGCCTCTTAACTGAAGTCAATAAACCTCCAGGGGCTTACCAAGATCCCAGGAGCTGTTCATTTACAGTTTGCATCCCTAAACACAATTTGAATAATCATGTACAGATGCAACAAAGTGGATTACTTCAGACAAATGTAGCTTATAACAGGTCAGCCTTGACAAAACCTGCTTCGTCATCATATGCTCAAATGCTTCGAGGATGTACCCACACAACAGAGACGCGAGTTCCACTCTTAAAGAAAAACAAACAGTACATACGCCTTGTGAAAACAAAATTGGCACAGACTTCTGAAACTGATTTATGGCACAAAACTAAGGGTTGCGATTATAGGTTACTATCGACGCTATGACTCATCTTCAGCCCTTTGCCAAGTAGAGGGTTTTTTTTTGCAGACAGAATCATCTGTGATACTGACTGACCATGTTCTAGTAGAGAATTATTTAAAAGGCTTATCGATGCTCGCCAATGTGTGCAAAAATACACCAAGATTCTGTTTGTACTCAAAACTACATAGAACAAGACACAGAGCATGAATTTCCAACTGCGTATAACATGTCCTTATGGTAGTATGTTTTGATTACATTTTGGCCTCGGATTTTATTACATTTCAATGTCCAAAACAAACATCCTTGATTCAAAAGGGGTCTGAATAAATAACCGTATGTATACAAGCCTGAGAGCAGAAAAAAAAAAGAACAGACCTGGAATAATAACTAAAATGAATGGGATCTCCATATGATACTGCGCTGATGCTTTTGTTCAACCCCAAGACTCAACAGAAAGAGGGAGCTGCTGCTCTCCTAAACTGACTTGTTCTGAATAAAGACCTTTAGATTCGCCTTTCCCTCAGGCCCTGTCCCTTTTTAACAGAACTTTATCTGGCAACACTGCCAGACAAACAATCAGCCTCAAATTACTTTTGCCATTTGGAAGAAACAAAAGGTATTTTACAATTAGTCTCCTTTGTAATACGTCCATAAAACTTTTAATTACAAACCTTATTTTCGTCAAATACATTGAAGACGAAGGACGCAAACTTCGTGGGATCTCCAAAAGGAAAAAACTGCTTATATATCTTCTGGAAGCCCACGGCATCCAGCTGCCCACTTGGACAATCCTTGATGAAGCCTTTGTACCTGAAAAATAAAGTCTGGTTAGAGATCTTATTAAAAAAAAAATAAAAAAAAAACAAGTATAAAATTCATAACCACAACTGAACAACATTGATGATAGACTGAAGTCGCCTCCTCGTTTCTACAGTAGGCATTACTGATTCAGTTTGAAAGAGTGCGCTAGATCAAAAAGGTGAAGTGCAAAGCTATTTGTCTCATTCACAGATAAGATGATCGCCTTAATCCAATAGCAAGCCCAGGGTGGTTAACTCTAATCAAATTACTCTCTGCTTCTCTTTGATAATATGCGTAGCTGATAGATAAGTCTGAGAGCTTCCTCTTGCTCCTGGAAATGACATATCTAGAGAGCGACTTAACATCTCTATTAGCCTAAATATAGAAGCATTTCATGAGCAATTTCAAGCGCAGTCACTCAAAGGTAGGCAGTTTCCTTGTACGTCTTCATAAGGGAATACAGCAGCCACACAACCCAACTAGACTGTAACAGGTCAGGGAGCAAGGAAGAGAGTGTTGGTCTTTACAAAAATAAATGTTACATGAATAATAGGAGGAAATAGAAAGTTTAAAAAAAAAAACACATCTAGTGAAAAAAAGGCACTGTAAATAGCATTCCCTCTTGATCAACACCAAAAATGACGCAAGTTCACACTAGGGAGCACTGCCTGTTCGTCTCTGATTCAGTTAAGGAGGTTCATAATAAGACTGGGCTATAATTAAGGCCAGGGAGAGTACGTTCGGATGAAGAGTGACGACCAGGAAAGATCTTTTTCCACTCACGCTCGGGCTCCTCACTCCTCTTAAATTCTTTACTTTTAATCTGCCTTGGAGATAATGAAGCAGGGCTCCATATAGTCACAGAGATGGGGGAGACGCTTTGAGGAGCAGCTGGGATATAGTTCAGGAAGGAGAGACGCGAGAAAAGAGCAGAACCATGTAATTCTCACATTTGAATTATCTGGAGATATGCAGGAAAATAAAAGCCCAGCTTCCTATAATGCAGAGTATGGCCTAATTGGTATTCAAAGTACAGAACACAATGCGTATCATAATCCAAAGCCGACCCATTTCACCTGAACTCTTTAGTCATTTTTTTAAATGGATGACTACGGAATTTTAAATCCTGCAACCAATATGAAAGACTGGATGACGCCATAGCATACATTATGTTTTCTGTATGGGGCAGAGAGCATTTAGTTCACATATAAAAATGTTTATTGCAAAACAGAACAGAATATAGTGTGCAGTGGTATGCTTGCATGCAAATCCCAAGTTGACTTTGTTTTGGCAGTAAAGCCCCGTATTACAGGCATGGTAAACAAAAAACTGTGATGAAATAAAAAAAATAATCCAATTTACATCAACAATAAATATTTTTATCTAACAGCCTCTTTTCAGTAATTTGAGTAGGTCAAATATCTGCACATTTTAGTTTATCACTCACAACCAGAGTAAATTGGCAGTTCAATATGGACATATGTGCTTATTACAGATATACTGACACCAGACCATCTGTTTGCAACAAGAAATCGCACAGCGGAAATTACAGAACAGAAATGTCTTTTTAAGTGGTTTGTATAAATAATGGTGGCAAAAAGCTTTCCTGTATCCTTCATTGGAGTGAGAGGACAATAAATAAATTAATTCATTCATAAAGATGAATGAACACCACAGACACCATAAACAATGTGATCCAGACACCCTGACGAGGACTCAGAGGCAGAAACTGACAAAATAAAGGCTTTCACTAGGGCGCTCCACCAACTTTAGACATGAAGTTCCGTTTAATCATCATGAGGTGCACTGCTCAGCCTGTGCAAACATGTTTTCTGAGGCTTTGAAGGAACTTTCCGAAGTCTGAAATAACCCCCGATGATGTAACTGGGGTTTTCATGACTTGGCCTTCAGTCTTAAAGTCTGTGTTATGGGCAGGAGGTTTGGCAAAGGGTTGAGTGATTCAGGGAAATAACCTAATTGGGATATTTCTGGCAGAAATCATGATTAAATTTGCAACGTCTTTTTCTAAAGTCAGGCGTTTGTTCAATATTCACTGTATGATATCAGTTTAAAATGTGATGGAGCATCAAAAGTGTCACACAAGGAGGTCAGCATAAATTTGTAAAACTATTGGCACAACATTTGGAACCCTGGGGCCGCAAAATGTACAAGGCGTGGCTATTAAATGATGACGCTCGGCTTGTGTCAGTCAGATCCCAGCGTGCATCCTCGAACCACGTAGTATACACAGATCAATGAGCAGCATAAACAACTCAACTAAAAGTTTCAGTGTGTTCAAATTAAATTAAACTGAATTACAGCATTAGTCTCATCACCTAATAGCCTCGCCGCGTATATTCTAAATTGCAGTCTTTACGATTTGCTAATTGCATTGTTTCAAAATGCAATTTCGATTTGAAATCTGTTAATTGTTCAGATCGAGTACGGCATTTAAAAGAACAAAGCATTTAGGCGGCAAGGGCAATCTAATGAAAGGGAATCTTTAGTTGCATCATGGGACATGCAGGAGGATAAAAGATAGGATAAAAAGGATATGCCGGCCACTGCTGCTTTCATTTTGACCACTTTTGAGATTTTTTTCTCTGCCTCTGATGAGTCCCTCACCTTCATGTGAGTACAATGCTAAATCACTCCAGTGCTCCTTTGTTGCCTGCCCAACACTGCCTGCAGAAGGTTTTCATTTACGTTCTTAAGAGCACCTTAAGGACTTAGTGGATTAGAAATGACAAAGCAGTGAGAACTTTTTATGCCTAAAAAAAATTTGTTCATATCAATGCAACAGAACCAGAGCCTGTATGTCTGTACTCTTCCTCTTGAAATCTTCCTTCTAAAACTTTACCAGTTTACCTTTAACTAGCTGCTGGTGACCGGCTACTTGAGCTATTAAAAATAATTTCATGCCCACTGTAAAAACTGTGGGTTTTTACATTATACACTACTGTATTTCATCTGATGTTTATTATAGTTCAACACTGCTTAAATTTTAATGAGTGTGCATTTAAATAATTAATTTTTTATACCAAATGTAATACATTGTGTATCAGTCTGACAGCCACTCCACAGTAACATCACTTTGCTGTGCGAGTCTTTGAGTTATGCATATATAAGGCTGAGTACTACAGTTTCCATATTACAAATAATGTAGCTAGATAAGCAGTACACGCTCAAACACTGGTACAGTGGGTACAGTAAACGCCCCCCCACTGTGTGAACATGTTTGCAGTGTCAGCTATTCATCAGTCTCATGATCAGAGTCACTTTCATTTGCCAGGAACACATCGTGCACAAGAGATCTTACTTGGTGACACTGGTGCTAAGACACACACACAGTCAGCCTGTACTTGAAGCAGCGTAATCATACGACTACGTACTGTACTTGTGGGGACATAGCAAACGTGACATTGTGCATCAGAGCACACTGGGGAGCCGGCATGAAGATAAAGTATTTATTACTGGCACTGGTTACTTCTCCTTGGCATCTACCACGGTGGCTTGCCAAAGAGCTGTGCAGGATGTTTCTTTTGCTCCTGCCTAGCTGGCAGGAACATCACTGAGCTATGGCATTTTGTTATTGATTTCAGGTAGGCCTCGGGCATACTAATGATGTTCCCTTAGAGGAGAATTAGAAAGGGGAACAAATTTAATGCACAACACAGGCATTTATCTAACCCTGCTAATTCTTCTGTGTCTGTGCCTGTGCTCTAATTACACGCCATCTGGCATTTCCCCTGGTAAAATTCCCTCTCATCCCTCACACTCAGCCGTGTTGATTGCTGCTGATCTTCAAGTGAGGACTCATGCAAACTTTCCTGTGAAAGACAGTGAGAGGGTGATGGTGAGCTAACTGGCTGCACAGCCGGCGTGGTGGAGGTTTAAGGGAGATGGGGGCGGGGGGGAGGTATTCCGCCCCAGTGCACTCAGGCAGCCCCAGGGACAGACCAGCTCGAAGGCTCTGGACCTGCCAATGCCCAGCGATATCTAATGCTGCAGCCTTTACTGCTGTGTGGCTGTGAATGTGGCCTGGCTCCTTCCCCCCTTTAAACCCCATTACAAGAGCGACTAGCTCTCAAGGCAGAGCTCTTTTCATGCATGCGGAATTAGGTTGTGAAATGCAAAACCAAAGCAGGAGAACTGAAGTGTGAACATGGAAGAGTGATCACTTTATTACAGTGCTCCCTCTTTTGATATACACTCCTCTTTGTTTTTGATTTCCAAAGAAACAATAGCCCAACAGCAGCATGCAGCAAACAAAAGCGATGACTACACTCATGCCTGAATCATCTCTGTAATGAAGATGCATTGTTTCACATCCATGTGCCAGCGGCTGTCAAATTGTCCCCTCAGAAAAACATGCAGACACTCAAAGCTGAACAGTAACGATCACTCTCACCACAGTTTTGTCACTTACCCTGCACTAAAGTGTCTTCATTTCATGGATATCTTTCATTTTGATACTTGTAAGTAAATGCTTCAACATTATGAATACAGACTGCGATCAGACAGAGGCTAGACCTTTGTAAGATGGAGCCGATGCAGGTAACACCGACTAATAGATACAGAATCTGACAGGAAGAATTACTAATCGGCAACCTTGCAGAGGCTCTCTGGCCATGTAGTCAGGAGTGCCTGAAAGTGAAACAACCTTGTGCCCCCCGCCATTCTCCTGTTATCAGACATCCCTTTTGCAAATCGAGCAAAAATGTTGTGGAGGAATGCATCATGGAAGTGTTTGTATCAGTATTATCAGCCTTCAAAGTCATTCAGTCTCAGTAAGGCTTCAAAGTCATTCTATTTTCAGAACTCATCTGTCTTCAGGGAAGTGTGAGGGAGATGGCTTCAAATCAACTATCAAACCAACAGTAAATTCACCATCCGTGGACTTAACAAACTAAATCCTGGGCAAAATATATCAAAGTGGGTTCTGCAAGTGGGTCAAGGTAAGACCCCCTGATTCCTGTGAGCTTTCTCAGTGAAGACACAATTGCTAATATATTACTAGCCTCACATCAGGAAAGGAAAATTCTCATTAAAAATGAATGCACACACTTACCACTGCTGCACCTCTTTCTCTGTAACTGCAAGAGAAATAAAGAGTGACATTAGCTTAGAGGAAAACTTTGGTTGCCCTAGAAAAAAAGTGGCTTACTGTGAGATACAACAGAGGAGCCTGGTAGTTAATCATCTTGGCCCAATCCCTTCGAACACACATCCTCGGAAGAAATATTCAACAGTGTCAACATGCAATTATTGGAAAATAGCTATGTTCCGTTGAGAGTAGAATTCACTGATTCTTGGATGTTATCAAAAGAGAGGAATAATATTTCTTTCTGACTGGTATAGTAGTAGACAAGTGGGAGTAAGCCCCAGGGAGCTGCAAAAAGACACACAATGCTAAGGGAATGAAGGTCAGCCGCACATTTTCAAGAGAAGAGTTTAAGCGGCAGGATGTGTTATCATGCCCACACAAGCACCATTATCTGCCAGTATCTAATCAACCAATCCCAAATGGCTTTCCCTTGTCTCTTTACTTTCGCTCAAGTAACCAAAGCAATTTTCGGTCTCTTTGGCCCCCGGGGTTACTAATGAAAACAAGGACTGGAAATCAATAGCATTAGTTTAACCAGGTAGTCCTTTGAGAAAGACTTTCTGAATTCGTGTGTCTGCTGCTAAAGTCTGAGAATAGATGTCGTCTACTACCACCTCTGTTGGGGCCTGCGGCAAAGCAAGAGGCTTATAAACCCCCCAAACAGCTAGTTAGTTAATCACTAATTTCATGAACTGTAATGTTTAACCTTGAGCAACTCATAGTCATGGTAACAACAAGGGTATACAACCGAGGGAGCAAGGCAAACAGTGAGTGAGCAAGCGAATGGCCAGATACGAAGATATTTTTAAATTTACCATTATCTAGCACCCTCACATTTCAAGAGATTGCTCAGGTAACAGAAAATCTATTTCTGCCAAGGGCCAAAAAGAAGATATTTTGCTAACACTTAACCATGAAATTTACACAATAAGGTATTCAATAATGGTGCTCTCACAGCGCTAGAGGAGAATCACACAGAGGCTATTGATAAGGAGGCCAGGTCAGGCCGCCGCTGCCTGCAGATACCTCCATCTCAATTCATCCCGCTCAGCGTTTCACCAAGAAACCCATCATGTGACCATTTCCTGGGCAATAAATGTCAGGGTCAATCACACGACTGTCAGCCAAGCCAAGCTACCATTAAATTGGCCTCAAAAGTCCATGCAGTCAAAAATTGGTGCAATTTAGTATGGCTGCGATTGAATAAAAGAAAGAAATTACATAACTCAGTCAGAGGCAATGGGCAATAATGCAATCAGCCAATTGCAGCAGAGTGCAGGGCCCACGCAGCCGGTTGGCCCTGCAGGGTCTGCTAGAACACATCCGGCTCGCGACTCTGTCACTGTGAGTGTCGTCGTCTCTTTGACTACTTACAAAATCATCATGCTATTACAGAACATGGGCCTGGCCTACATCCTGCACACATAATAAGAGGACTGCTGGTCTTCCCATGTGAAGCCAGAACAGTCATTCAGAAAAAGCCTCTCTGGGTAGAATTAAGTTCTTTTAAAGTATAGGTGAGGCCATTTTCCACAATTTTCACTAAGAGCAGGAAAAATCACTGGCTAGTCAGAGCCTTTGCACAGCTTAATGTTATCTTTGGCCTGAAAGTGGAACATTTCAGTGCCATTTGTTTGTCTGTCTGTTTGCCTATTTGTTTGTCTGTCAGCAAGATTACGCGTGCGGCCAAATTTTATAAAACTTGGTGGAGGGAAGGAGCATGGCCAAAGGAAGAACTCATTAAATTTTGGTGGCGATCTGGATCACTTTCTTTAAAATTATTAGATAAAGCCTCAGTGGAGGTCTGTGATTTTTGAATGCTTTTCTATTTGAAAATATAAGATCAGAATAATTTGCCTATGAAGAACTTTTAAACAACAAATCAGAATAAAGGCATCTACACATATTTATCTGAAATAAATAAGACTTATTTTTGCCTTTTCACACATGCAAGGTAATATTTGCTGGGAAATAAATGTCCTGCTTCTTTTACCTCTAGAACAAAAAGACACATAGGCACATAGAAAAGTCCCCAATCTGTCAAGAACCAAAGGAAAGCATTGAATTGGCAAATAAAATGGCAGACAAAGGCAGACAAAGCTGCTCATGGGAGAGAAAGAAAAAGAGGCAACAGGATGGAGGAAAGCAGAAATGATAGAGTCTCCAGTCAAGCAACAACAGAACAAGAGGGAATGATCACACTGGGAGAAAAAGCTTGGTGCCCCCTCTCAGCGATGCTAACCAGATAAGATCTTAATTATACTATTCCATTCCATGCTCAAAGAGGGCAATTAGGGGGTAAAGCGAAAGAGACAGGGTGAAAGGGTAAGAGAAAATGAGAAAGAGAGCGAGAGGAAGAAAGAAAGAAAAAGAGAGAGGGAGAGAGAGAGAGAGAGAGAGAGTAAAGGACAGCAGCAAGCAGTCCAGCCCAGCATGAAGCCTAATCTTCCTCCACAGCAATTTCCTGCTACAACAGCCTTCCTTGGTTCTGCTGTGGAGAGACCCACCACACAAATAACACTGTCATTAAGCAGCCAATGGATGTCAGCTTCCACCCACACCTGCACACTGTGCTGCTCAAATAATAATAACAATAATAACGCCGCGCTCCAGAAATAACACACAAATGATTAATATAGTGTCTTCTGAGAAGACGTTTCTGGCGGTAATTATAATCTGTGATCTGTGCTCAAATTTGATTGAAAACCATGGGGAAAAATCTTTTTTTTTATGTTCAGCAGGAGATATCAATAAGTAGGTTACTGCTGGAGAGGTGGAAAAAGCAAACGCTGTCAATCTGAAGCGTCCTGATAGGTTAAGAGGAGCAAGGATAATAGATCTAGCTACGATGTTGCACAGTCACTCCAGTTTTTGCCTGGGGTCTCCTGTCAATCTCTATGCCGGAATGCAATTTACAATAGTTGCAGGTAAAAGCATAGCATGAATTTATTTAGACTCAATCAGAGACTGTTACCAAACACATTAAAAACAGAATAATTACCAATACAAAAGGTTCCATGAACAGAATTCTCATCTCTAAAACCCCCCATCTCGATAGCTAACACAATCTCGGCTTCTCCATATTCATAAATCTCATCAGCATGATTAAAAGACGCTGATTACAACTTTTTGCTTGAACTTAACCAATCAAGATTTGGCACAAAACATTTATATGTAAATTTAAATCAAATCGGGAAGCTTATCCTCTGCTGACATTTAGATGTGGCTCTGTTCTGTCAACAATGAGAAAGTTGTAGAAGACACCCCAGCAGGCAGGGCTATTTACTGTAAAGCCTCAGCTGGTGCACAGTAGGTGGAAAATATGATTAGAAAACTGCAGCAATAAAAAAAATCACTTAGGTATTCTTATCACATACTGCATATTCTTTTATGCTAGATTCTCTAAGAGTTTGTGCAGGATTTTCTTTGTAAACATATGCAAAAGAAAAGAAAGACCTGAGGGTACTCACAATAAGTTTTCCTCGTCAACTCCTCCACCACCTCTGGCTTGAGCTTGCTGTTTGATTTACCCATGATCTTCAGCTCTCTCCAAATCCACCTCGGCACGCAGCACCTGTTACTACGTCCTCTCCAGTCTGCTCGTCTGCCAGAAACATACAACAAAACGTGGGCCTGTTTAGGCGCGAGCACACCGGTGAAATGAGACAAAACAATGCTTTTGTTTTGGTTTGCTTTGGCGGGAAAAAAAAAAAAAGAAAGAAACTCCCATTCAAGCTAAATGAGTCTATCGTTCTGTGTGTGTCACTTTAGCTGTGGTCATGATCTGCTCAGTCATCAGCCCTGGCACTCCAGACAGATGAGTAAAAACCCCAGGGGCCCTGTGAAGAAGGGCCAGCAGGTTGATGAGTCTATATGAGCGCTGCTGAGTGCCTATGTGTCCGCCTCATTTCTTCGCAGCAGTCCGTGGGCGAAGAGTGGCGTTTGGATGCGTTGCTACCTTCGTCCTTGGATACAAGAGTCACTCAGCGGCTGGGTTAAGCGCGCTCACTCCCTCACAGTCATTCTCTGTTCTTCTCACTCCTCCCACCCCTTCTTTCCCACCACTATCTCTACTGCTCTGGGTAAGTTACTGTACAAAAGAATCCTCCCTCTTGACAGCTGAGATAAGGAGGTGTGTAAACTCAAATACAATGAACAGAGCTCGACTTGGATGCACCCCACTGCACTTTGCACTCACTCAAACTCTAATCCTTGGAATTCATACAGACGTCACAGTTTAAGTAAAAGGTTTTTTAAAAAAAAAAAAAAAAAAACGGCCTCAGTAATGATTTATGGGAAGCAAAAAAGATGCCAGGCATGTTCATAGTTCTACACTTTTAGATGCCAACCGAGCAGCATAAAAGAGATCTCGGTGCTGCTCTTAAAATAAGCGTGTGAGCTGTCTACTAAGTTTATAGGCGGATTTTGAAGGATGACAGTTTTCTTTTCTCCTCCATTCTGACTCATAAGTCTCCCTCCTTCCTGGGCTCACGACAGCATGGCACGGTGATTTCCTCCTCTCTGTCACAGCAGCCAAGAGATAGGAATAATGGAATTTCTTTGTATCACGGGCACAGCGTTGGCATGCATCGATGCCTAACCACAGCAGCTGTCTGACTCACAAAGGAGGAAAAAAAAAAAACACTGTATGCACTGGGCACCTTCACTGCGAACATCTGCAGCAGACATCCACGGCCGGTGATGTCCTTCTGAGGGATGCCACGCTGGTGATCACCATCTTGTGTCTGCTCAAGCCTTGTGGTTCCTGGATGTTGTTTAGAGGCTGTGGAAATAAACAAGACAGACAGGGTTTACAGAGGGCAGGGACAAGCATGCGTTTCAGTGGAAATGGACTGTCACCTGGAGATACAGACACATGGGCACTTGACTGGGAAAAAAAACCCCAAAAAAACACTCAAAACGAACGACCTTTCCGCTGTGTGCCAAAAGCTGCTGAATGTGGCAGAGCACAAAGTGTTGGTAATTGAAGTGCGGAGGCTAAAGTGTGCTGCTTTTTGTTAGCACCAGTCGATATCAGAAACGGATCGATTAGAGTCAAACAGGTGGCTCGGACGAAACGACACAACTAAAACACAAATACTCACAATGTTAACAAAGCTTAGTTTAATTAAAAAGCACTTTCTGTCGGTGAACTGACACATGTTTTGGTTGACAGGAGTGAGAAACGTCGGCAGCAGCAGCAGCAGGTGGGATGTTGCCCGGCAGTGCCATAGCAACACACAGTTTACGGCTACAGCGGAGCTTTGCTAGTCATTGTTTGGTACCCACGCTGCTCCGCGGAGCGACTTCACCAAAAATAATCTGAATAATCAAACAAAACACCTTCAAATGAATAAAAGCTTTCATATGTTTAGTTTTTTTTTTTACCTGAGCTACCAAAGCGGGGAAGTCGCCGTCCGCTTGGCCACTTTGTAAGAGGACAGCCGCCGTCCGACGTTGTTGCTCCGCCGAGTTCCGGAGAGCGACTCGCTGCTGCTCGGATGGCGGTCTGTGCGATGCCGCCGACCGTCAGGGAGTGACGTCGCTGCCGCCGCTGGCTCCGACCGGCTCTCCCTCTGAGACGCTGACGTCGCGGCACCGCTGGTCGCACACTGACCCTTTGTGTGCTCTCTCTCAGCCTCCACACGTGTCGTCTCCAAGTTCAGACACGGAAGAGTTAACTTTTACTCTTACATTCATATATTTTGGGGGGGAGAGATATGAGATGAGCAGAACTGGCACTTCAGTAAGTCAAGTCAGTTATTTATACAGCACGTATAAAAAAAAAGAAAAAGAAAAAACTGCTGCGCCAAAGAGCTTTCAAGTAGAAAATGTGATTGAAGTTATAAATTAACCAAACTACTTTAAACATCGAGGCTAAGGCTCTGCTGTGTTATTTATGGTGTGTGCTACCTGACGAGTTCACACATCGAGGATTAAAACAACAAACGATACTATATCCACCCGACTAAAATAGATGTAAAGGCTTGAAGCAGCTTATTGTTTCTGATGGAGATCAGCTGAGGTACCTTAATTGTAGGGATGAGACCCTGACCTAATGTTTACAAAAATTACCAGACTAGTTTTGATGTTAGGGTGAGACCATGCAAAGCATCCGACAAAAAAGGGAAATTAATGGTAAATGTAGTTTTAAAAAAAAACAAAAAAAAAAAAAACAGTGTAACTTTATGGCCACATATTGTGACAAAAATAATTCCTATTTGTAAAATATATATATACATGTTTTGTTTTTTTTTTGTGTGGAAACTGTGTACGGGTTTTGCTTTCTTTTATTTTACTACATATTGATTATAATTTTACAAAACAGGAAAAATCTGTACAGTTAGGGCTAAAAAAATATTTACCAGTTTTCAGCCTTTGATATATTTACATTTACTTTCAAATTACAGCAGATATCTAGAAATAATTAAATTTTTTGCCTATTTAAAAACAGTACAAAAAATAGTGCACTATTGCAGCCAAGGTTAAAAAAGGATAAATTACTATTTGTAAAAAATACAGATTTTTGATGTAGACATTGTTCACCATTTTTGCCATTTTTTGTTGTTTTTTTTGTGTTTTTTTTTAAAGGATCGATATGAAAATGAATACTTTCTGTCTGTGATTTGACCAATTTAACAAAACAGGAAAAATCTGTGAAATAACAGTAAATTGTAAAAAATAAAATAAAATAAATAAATAATAATAATAAAATAAAAATAGAAAATGCAGTTCAAAACGGTTAAACATTCTTTCTTTCTTTCTTATTTTAACAGTGTATACCTAAAAAAAAAAAAGTATCCCAGGAATGACTAGATTCCCTATATGCAAGCTTTGTTGTTGTTGTTTTTATCATTATTATTATTATTTTTAATTTATGTGTGCTATTTTACAACTTTGTTTGTTACATTTTGTATTATTGTTGTTTAATTATCTTTTTTTTTTTTTTCAATTAAGGTAACCTGAATGCCCACTTTTATTGTAAGTTACCTCTAGAGTAGAAAAATCGGCGTTTAAATCCTGCTCAAAACATACCTTTTGTTTTTCATTATATGACTCAGTGTAGGCTACTTTATCATTTTATTGGCTAATCACTTCACCAGTGTGTGGAATAAGTGAATCATGGGGGTAGATTTTATGGGGCACGCAGGGGGATACATCCTCTCCAATAAAAACATGAAAGAAACTAAGGACTTTTAATTTGAAAAAACAGCTATAACATTACTCAAGGATGCAACACCACCTCTGACAGGGTGTCCTCATTTCCAGCTCTGGGTCTTTTTCTACTCCGAAAAAATAGCTAAATATAAATCAGGACCTTGTGCAAGCAGTGAATTTTTTGTTGAATTAGAATTATTTAGAGGCTTTAACGAGGTCTCATTCTGTAACCGATTAAATGTTTTAATCATCACATTGTGGCCAATCACATGGCCAAAATGTGTTGTATTCTTGACTCACATTCACATTTTTGGAACAGATACAGGCCTAGTCATAATTGGCGCTTAAGGTAGCTCGAATGCCCAATTTAACTGCCAATTACCTCTAGGAAGACTACAGTTTAAATAGTTCAAAAAATCTGCCTTTTGTTTTTCATTATATGACTGAATGGAGTCTAAATTACCTTTCTTTCCTGGCTAATCTGCAGCAGTTTGTGGAATAAGTGAATCATAGGCGTAGATTTCACAGGAGACACAAAGTGATACATGCCCCAAATAAAAACATGAAAGAAGCAAAAGAGTTTTAGGAGCTATACCATTACTAATAGATGCAATAATACCTCTGACGACGGCAGATCTTCCTTTCAGCACTGTGTCTTTTTCTGTATATGAAATATGAGCTCATACAAAAACTGAATCTTTTGTGGAATCACTTAGAGGCTAACAGGGTCTCATTCTCTAATCGATTTGTTTAATGTTGTAATGGATTATGACCAAAATGTGTTGTTTTGAGTTGAGTGGTCCTTGATTCCAAAAAACATCCTCCCTAAATATGTTTTCTGTCTCCAGGAAGTTTTCAACATAAACTACTAAACTCCAGGGGCTTATATACAAACTAAAATGAATTAGTTTATCATTGATATGAATAGGTGCCACATGCACATTTAAAGAGGCTACGTCAGCGAACAAAAAGACGCGAAAGAGATTATGCTTCCATGTGTGTTGACTAAGCAAGAATAATATTAAGTAACAACAGTTGATTTACCCGGAAATAGCTATTTGAAAGCACTACAGAATGCCCTGAAAGCCTTACTGCACTGTATTGCAGTACTTTTCCACTCAAGTGTCACCTGGTGCCAGAATTTTATGTTTTCCTTTACATAAAAAAAGACATCTTGACTATAAACTGATGCAGAAAAGGCACCAATTGGAGCATAAAAATTGATTTGAATGCGGGAAATGAAATGTATGATGTTCAAAATTTCCTTAGACCACCTCTAAATGCGTTCCCCTCCAACAATACCTATAACCAGGAGTGAAATCATCAGGCAAATATTATTAGACTATTTGGCAAGGGCTGTAATAATGAGTCTGAGCTTTATTGATAAGTAGCTATTAAATGGACTTTCCCTATGTTGTGGGATTCATGTGCGGTATAAATAAAGAGTGGCCAAACTGATTTAGCATATGTGGCTGATGTCCTGAGCATCAGTCCTCAGGAAAAATCCAAAACACTACAATTCCCATTATACAACTGAATAGAAATTTGTGTGTGCAAATTCCCAGGTCATTCAAACCACATCCTAAACACTTCTTCTGTTTAAAAAAAAAAAAACAAGAAAATGTTAAAGTCAACAAAGCTGATATAATTATAATAATCTCAGCATGAAGAAATCATCAGGCTCATATTATCAGAATTATTATTTTAAAAATATCTCACTCTAGACCCATAAAATCCCATCATGCAATTGTTTTCACGGTCAGCGCTCTAGAGTACAAGTAAATCGTTGTGTTCTATGTAAGATTTAAGAGTTTTAAGATTTAAGAGGGCCCCTTTTCAATTATTTCTTTGTTTTGCTACAAAAGTCACGTCTGTAGCCTGCAGTCTATGAGCTATCACAAATCTGCTAAGTCTAGTGTAAGCCCTAAAGTGGAAAATAAGACTAAAAGCTCGAGAGTGGGATGGCAAATTGGGAGAGCATACCAGCAAAATTCAGGTTAGGTCTATCCAAACATAGCCTACCATAATTACTGATTCGGACTGTGCAAGGCCAGCTGAGAAAGAGTGCAACATGGGAACGAGGGAAAATGATTTCAGATATGCTGCCACACCGGCTAAAACAGAAGGAAAGAAGTCTGAATTGGTTTGACGGAAAAGATTAGTGTTCTGCAGTCTTCACTTGTATTGATTGCTTATTAGGCTACATGCAGGATGCAGGGACGAGGCCATTTTCCCATGAGTCTCATTTGTACTTGTTTGAGTCCAAACTTTGTTGTCGGACTTTTCCATGTGCAGCTTATTAAAATTCAATTCCCGTCAGCAGCATGTACACAGATGTTCACTTATTGGATTTGTCCATTAACGACCGCTACACCATCGTTGTATAGCCTCAATAGGAGCTTTCTGCCAATTCATGGGAGGGCTGGATCAGAATGTAGGGTGTCTGACTTGGCCAGCTTAGTATTCAGTGGCCTTCCCTGCAGTCCCTTATTGCAGTCAACTGCAGTTACAGTGGTCTCATAGGAATAGAGGGAACAAGGCTGAGCAAAAGAGAAGGAGGCCATGGCAAAATGGAGTAAATTAATGGAAGATTTCTGATCCTTTTAAGCAGTTAGAGCTTTAGTGAGGGCTTGATACTTTTTTTAAAAAACTGATTTTAGCTTCAGCTATGTGGGTTGGAGTCAAAGGCAGAGGGTAAACTAACCTAGACTCAGATTACTCACTTTATTTGTAGAGTAGTTTCCCACCCACCATCCGTCCAACGTCTGATTGCATGCTCATTCAAATAAACTGCTACAAGGGAATAGGTGTGTTGTGAATAGAGAGGTAACACATTAAGCTGCTCTCTAATATAATTTACTTTTACATTAGTGTTTTTAAATTGCCATTACCTCTGGGCTTAATTTATATTCCTTTTAGTTTACGGCTGTGTCACCGACAGAAGGCACAGGGGAAATGCAACACATTTTAGGTCATGTCATATTAATTTATCACAAAGCACTCAAATATATCAATGCTCCATCAAACTCCTACTTCTTTTAAGTATCTGATAGCCATTTAAATCCAAAAAGAGTGGGATATTTATCACAGTCCAGCTTCAGTCACACATCATGTCACCTTTTCCATCCATCACTCCGTTGTCGAAATCGCAAAAGCACTTCTCCTGAACATGATTCTGCATTTATTACGTGCAGATAATTGTCCATTTATCAGAAAGCATCCACCACGATCATTAAATCATCATCATCAGCACCAGGGCGTCATTAAATGCCCCTGCAGCGTCTTTGCATCACAGCGATATGCTGAC